GGAAAGAAAGAAGAGTTAGTTACCTCTGTGCTCCAGCTATAAAACTGACAATATTTACTGAACATTGATCAGGTGTTATTTATAGTTTTATATATATATATATATATATATTGTTGATCAGGTGTTATAATAGTTTAATTTACATCATGAAATTATTTTTTTCCATAATTTTATTGAGAGACAAATAGCAATGAGACAGTTTCAAACCAAACTGGTAGGACAGTTTCAATAATTAACACATTGCATACTCTCTTCCTAGTGGTTATTTGCTGTATAAGATGCAGACATGATATCCTATTTACAAACACTATTACAGCAAATCCCTCTATTCATAAAGAGAATGTAACTATATATCTATCCTAACCATTTTGAATACACAGATACAAAATGGACATTCATCTGTATCCCCTTTTCTGTTTAGTTCTGTTATTTGAATATTATAGGTGTATAAACTCAGCAAAATATTCTAAAAGAGTCCAGTAGTCCATAATAGTATTGGGTCTTCCTCTTGACTGGCAGTGTCAGAAATTGTTGACCTGAGTCCCCTGCAGCTCAACATGACACCATGGCTTTACTTCTTATACTTCATTTTTATACTTTTCTGCTGGATGGTTAAGACCAAGATAAAGCAAGACCTATGCAACAAGAGTTGTAGCTTTTGGATCTGATAAGGTCAGTCAAATCCCCTCAGGATTTTTCCTGAGATACTGTACCTCAGATTGTAGATCCTTTGTCAGTGTCAGCCATGTGGATGAGTCACAGCCATTGCTTGGCCAATGTGCTCTCTGTGAAAGCCTGAGAGAATGTTTTCTCTCCATGTGCCTCTCCTTAGGCACACTCTACATCATCGATCACTTTCCTCTTTGGCTCCATAATCTCCTTGATCAGAAAATTTGGGACACTACTGAGTTACATGACATTACAAGTTCTCATATGTCCTGAGTCTTAATTGACCTTGGAAGGCTAGGACCAAAATGTTGGCTTTCCCTGTAGCCCTCCTTTTTCTCTAATTTTGGTCTGCAAACTTAGGTTGTTCACCCTCCAGAAGACAAGCTTATTGTTATTACCATACAACCTAGGCTGTTAAACTTAACCTCACTATCTGTCTGAATATCAAACACCTTAGGCATAACATGGAACAGGTATTTTTCATCAAGTATTGATATGTTGAACTTTATGATGAAAAAAAATTAAAATATATAAAAAATTAAAATTAAAATACATCATCATGAAATTATTAACAGAAGCCACCAATTGGGTGAGGCCTGCATTGTCTTACACAAATATTATGTGAACCACAAATTTACAATTTGTTAGCAGATGCATTATAAAGTAAGTTGGGTTTGGTGGTATACACCTGCAATCCCAGGATGCTTGGAGACTGAGGTAGGAGGACCTCAAGTTTGATCCCAGCCTGCTCAGTTTAGAAACTTACTGAGATCCACCCTCAAAAAGGGGTGGTGGCCAGGGAGATGGCTCAGTGGAATTTGCGCTTCCTTGGCAAGTGCGAGGGCCTGAGTTTAATCCTCGGTTCTGCCAAAAAAAAAAAAAAAAAAAGGGTTGGCAATGTAGCTCTGTACAAAGGCCAAAAGTTCAGTGCTTAGTACCTCTCCCCAGAAAAAGTGATAGTACTTTTAATATTTTTGCCTGGCACATTAAAACTATTTTAACATGTAATCAACATAAAACTATAATTTTACATTCCTTTGGAGACAAATTTGTGAAATCTAGTGGGTATTATATATTTAATGGATGTATCCTGTAGCCATATATATAGTCAACAGCTATTGCCTTAGACAGTACAAGCCTAGATTGTAAATGCCAGAGATCAGATTATTTTATTATTGTATCCCCAGCCTCTGGCCCAGTAACTTGTGTCCGGTAATACTTTTGACTTAATGAATGAATGAGTTGATACATTATATATAGAACCATCTTTTCACTGATTTATATGATCCATGGGAGTAAGTTAAATTTGTCACAAAAATGGTGGTAAGTTTACAGCACCTCTGCTGTATTGTCATTTTTTTTTTTTTTCATTTTATGTATTTGATACAGGGTCTCACTATGAAACTCCGACTCATACTGTTCCTCCTGTTTTCGGCCTCCTCAGTGCTGGGATTATAGGCGGGTGCCACCATGCCTGGACTTGGTCCAGCTTATCACACCCCAGGGTGGGGTAGAGGGAGGCTGGCACAGCATGTAGGACTGGGGATCAAATCCTGGTCCCTGAGCTTGCCATAGCAGGTGCTTAATCCACTGAGCTATCTCACTGGCCTGTCATTTTTTTTTTTTTTTTAATCTAGAATGTACTTTATTTCCTTTCATAATTGCTCAAAAACAGCTGTAAAAATGTCCTATTGGCTCTAGGTATGTAACAATACTATAAAGGTTCTTAGAGTTATTTGTTGATCATATAGCAACTTTATTTTGCTTTTCATTTGAATTTTCATGCTAATTCTTAGAAACATTTATCTTGAGATTATTGCATAGTCCAGCACCTGTCCCTTAGGTCATCTAAATCTTTTTTTTTTTTTTTTCCTTTGGTACTGAAGATTGAACCCAGACCCCCACACATGCTTAGCACATGTCCTACCACTGAACTATAACCTGAACTTTATGACCTTAGTCACATCTGTCCCGTAAGCATAATACTGTGATAGCAAAATTCACAGAATAGGATCCTGTTTTGATTATCTTTGTAACTGTTTGCTTTGACCTGCACTTAAAGTCAATAAAACTTTTTGTTTGACCTGCATATCTTCTACTATTTAGGTGTTATAGGTATTACAGGGTAATTGTTATACATTATCTTTGCTGTAGGTAGTTTATAATCTATTTAGAAAAGAAAAACTGATGAGATGAGAAGAATTAAATGAAAATTAATTGACTCCCAACTTTTTTCCATGTTTGCGCTGGGTTTGGTTACAGAAAGGTGGATGTATGCTGGGTGAATTGCATACCTGTTAATTCTAGTGCTTGGGAAGTAAGGACAGAAAGATAAGTTCAAAGCTACCCTGGGCTCCATAGCAAGTGCAGGGGCATCTTGGACTAGTTAGTGAGATCTTGTCTGAAAGCGAGAGAGAAGGAAGGGAGAGAAAGAAGGAGGAAAAAGATAAAACACATCCTTCTTTCACCTTGATATAATGAATGTTTAAAATCTATGAGATATAGTTATAATACCCCACATAGAGATTGCAGATGAGACAGCTGACTTAGTGAGGGCCACTGACTTGTTCATTGTTGCAATTAGAAAGACCCTGGATTCAAATTTAGATATGGGAGCATTTCCTCTTTCTTTCTCATCATACTCTTTTATGTTTCTAAAGTCTTATAAAGACAAACTGAGTTCTTTTTAGATAAATCACAGCTCATTAGTAATTTGTTGATTGTGATCTGCTTGATATGTTATTTATATAGTTTTGGTATAATCTTATTAATTATATGTTTATCCCAATTTATGATACAGACAGCACTGAACCAGAAGGACACTAAAGTCTTAATAGTGATAAAGAGCAGCATGGACTGGGCTTGGAGGCACTTACACTGCTAGGGACTGAGGGCCAAGGTGTGAGGTGAGGACTCTGGGCTTTCTAAGCAGAGGCTGCCATTGTAGTGGCCGTACAGTGGGAAATCAGTAGATTAGTAGGGAGAAGGTTCTGAAATGCTGGCCTGAGGACTTGGTTCTTCAGCAGTATTGAACAATCAAAGACAAACAGTATTGATGTGGACCAGTGACTCAGCAGTTCATTGGGTGTTTAGTTGCTCTAAATTATTCAAATTGTTTTTTCAGTTCTTGGTTTTTTTTTTTTTTTTTTTTTTTGGTGGAACTCAGCCCTTGTGCTTGTCAGGGAAGTGCTTATGCCACTGAGCCATCCCCCCAGTCCTTCAGTTCTTGTTTAGAAGGATTTCCTAGAAAGTGGGATTTTGGTTTGGTTGGTAGGCTGTTAGGTTGGTAATAAATTTTTACTGGTATAACATGTTTATTAGGTGTCTAATGTTACCCTAAAAATTAATTAACATATTATATCTGTTACATATGAAAGTAGATTGGAGGCTGGGGATATAGCTTAGCAGCAAGGTGCCTGCCTGGCAAGCTCAAGGTCCTGAGTTCGATTCCCAGTAACCCCCTCAAAAAAGTAGATCAGTCTTTAGAGTAACAAATAATAGCATCTTATTTTATCCCATATACAGTATATTTAAGCATCTTTGGTTCTGTAGCCATGCAAGGGTTTATGTAGAGTGGTATAAAAGATTATAAGGATAACAATATAAAGTTTTGGGTTTTTTTAAACCACTAAAATAGTCTGTAAGTAACTTTTAGTGAAATAGTTGATATATTTTATTTATTTATTTTTTAGTTGATATATTTTAAACATTAGAAATTTCAATTATAAATTATAAAATAGCTTTTCTTAGTAATACTTTTGCTTGAAAGATGTTTTTTGAAATCAGTACAAAGGTGTTTTTTGTTAAATATCTGGAATGGTATTTAAATGCTGAAATTTGTCAGTTTTCTTTTTTAAGTGTGTAATTATATATTGTGGAAAAATCATATATTTTGTATGTGTATATTTTATTTATACATGATTCATTCATATTTTTATCATATTTATGTAGTTTTTAAATATTCACAATTCAGTTTGCCTGTGTTTTTTTCTCTTCAAAGGAAATATAATTTGTCCTGTTAGTGTTTGGATTTCTAAACCTCTTCTTTTTCTTCTCTTGAAAATTCCAAATTGCTAGCCATTTTCTTGGGTACATTACTTGGTTATCTCCCTTGGGAAAAATCTTTTTACAGTTATCAAAATTTAAAAGTCATATGAAATAGAAGTGGAGATTAGCTTCTTAAAATCTTAATATATGTGAATATATAAGATAACCTCTTTAAATAAAAAATACATCCATTATAAATCTTCTCTAATTCCCATTTGAAGTTCAAATGTTTGTGCCTTTAATCTGGTCGGTCACATGTGGAAAAGTGTTTTCTTCTCTCCTAGGCCATAGACCTCCACCAGCGCGCAGTGGGCATCGCTGTGTGGCCGATAATACCAACCTCTATGTGTTCGGAGGGTATAACCCGGACTACGATGAATCAGGAGGGCCAGATAATGAAGACTATCCTCTATTCAGGGAGCTGTGGAGGTATCATTTTGCCACGGGAGTATGGCACCAAATGGGTACAGATGGCTACATGCCCCGGGAATTGGCATCTATGTCACGTGAGTACAAGTAGTTCTGAACTTTGGACTTTTGGAAATATCTGAGAAGCCAGGTTCGATGTCACACGTTCTATGTTAATGATTTATAATATTGTAATATAACAAGGCCCTATTAACAGATAGATATTTTACTACAATAAAATGTACAAAACATAATAATATAGCATGGTGATTCAGAATCACTTAGGTCCTGAGTTTGAATCCAGCAGAATACCATTTGCTTGTCAGGTGAGTTTTAGATTTATTCCTAACCTATAAATGGGATTAATAATATTTCAGAGGGTTTAAGATAAAGTATCTTATATATGCTAGGTAAAATGCAATCCATCAATAAATAGCTTTATAGCAGTGATCAGTTATTGAGCAGAGCACTTCATACCTATCTGCTTTATTTATGTAGCATTTCTTTGTGTAGGTACTGTCGTGATTGGCATTGTACAAATGAAGAAACAGGCTTTAGAGAATCCCTGAGGGTAATGGGTTAAGGTGCAGGCTCTGGAGCCAGAGTGTCTAGGAGTGAATACTACTTTGGCAGACCTCCTTTTAGGATACCTCAGCAAGTTATTTAAACCACTGTTATCCTCTGTTACATCATCTGTAAACACAGAGAAGCTAATTTTTTCCATACAGATTTGTTATGGAGATTAAGTCAGGCAGGTTAAATAGCTTTCCTGAGATGGTGGTGAAATTTAAACCAACTCTTGCTGTTTCTGGACCCAGACTGTGGACTACTACATTGTACCAATTAAATAATTGCTTTTTTTAAAAAAAGCCACTGAAAAAAGAGAGTGGCACTATTTTGCATAAGTGAGAGTGTGTGCTGGGTCAGCAATAAAAGAGGTAGAGAAAGAGCACCATATTTACCTGCAGGATATTGATGTTTCTTTTTATGTAGTAAAGGATTAAAAAATCATAATTTGGGCCGGGGAGATGGCTCAGTGGAATAAGCGCTTCCCTGGTAAGCACAAGGGCCTGAGTTCAATCCCTGGTTCCGCAAAAAAAAAAAAAAAAAAAAAAAAAAAAAATCATAATTTAAGGGCTGGCCAAATAGCTGTATGGATTAAAGTGCCTGCAAGCAGGTGCAGGAGCTGGGGGCTCAATCCCCAGGCCTGCTGTGCTGGCCCCACCCCCAGGGCACACTGAGAGGCAATTGAGACTGGGCATGGTGGCGCACATCTGTAATTGCACTTCTTGGGAGGCTGTAAACAGGCAGATCACTGAGTCTGATCTAGTAGTGAGACCCTGAACACCCTGTATACCCTTCCCTAAAATACAGAAAATAAATAAATCATAATTTAAAATATAGAGACAAATACAGAATTATCCCTTTATCCCTCATCCTGAGGCCCACAGGATCTTTACTGAGGCAAAGAGGATGTCTCCTTTTCCTCTGTGTGCTGTACTTGAACTGTCTTGAGCAGTAGTGGTCTACCCTGCTTAACGTAGCCTTGTTGCACCTCAATTTAATGAATTCCACAAACATATTGACTCTTTGTTATACACTTCACAATGAGCCATATGGTTTAGTCTGTACCAGTGATGGCTACCCTTTTGGAGATGAGTGTCTCTACTATACCCCAAGACTCATTTAAGAAAAGTGCCAGCACTGTAATTAGACCTGAATACTTAGGTTTTGGTTAGAAAAAACAACTCATGCATTGACATTTCTGTCTTTTTTTTTTTTTTTTCAAAGTTTTATTGATAAACAGCAATGAGACAGTTTCAAATCAAATCGAAAGTACAGTTTCAACAAATAATACACTGCATATATTCTTCTTAGTGGTTAATTGCTGTACAAGATGCAGACTTGTGATCCTACTTACAAACACCATTAGAACAAATCATTCTATTCATTAAGAGAATGCAACTATATATCTATCCCAACCACTTTGAATACACAGATACAAAATGGACATTCATAGTTATATCCCAATTTTTTTAAGTTCCGTTGTTGAATATTATAGGTGTGTAAACTCAGCAAAATATTCTAAAAGAGTCCGGTAGCCCATAATAGCATTGGGTCTTCTGTTTAACTGGCAATGTAACATTTCTGTCTTAAAAGAAAAGCAGATAACACACATGTCATAGGTTTGTCATCACTGGTCTGTACTATGTGAATTATGTACCTTTTTCTGTATATAGTAATTTGATGCAAATGTTTGATGTATCATATCATTAAAGTAGTTTTTTTAAGTTTTTCAGATATTCTGGGCTTGTGGGGAAATACAGTGCAGTACATAAATGAAATATGTGTTTCTTCTCTTCCAGTGGTGCTGCATGGAAACAACCTGTTAGTGTTTGGAGGTACAGGCATTCCCTTTGGTGAGAGCAACGGCAACGATGTTCATGTCTGTAATGTGAAGTATAAGAGATGGGCTTTACTCAGCTGTCGGGGGAAGAAACCCAGTCGTATATATGGACAGGTACCAGTTTATGGCCAATTATGTGAATGTATTTGTTTGTATTTTTCTAATCTAGAGACAATGTCAGAATATTTATATTGCTGCCAGTTTATTTTTAAACAAAGAGGTAATTTATGTGGTTGGTTTTTTGTTTTGTTTTATTTTTTGAGTTTTTAAGACAGGGTCTTGCTATATAGTCCAGGCTGGTATTCAATTCCCAGCAGTCCTTTTCCCTCAGTCTCCTGAGTGCTGGGATTATAGTCGTGTGCCATCAAAACTGGCCATGTGTTTGTGTTTTGATTTTTCTATTAGTAAAATTGTAATTTACAGCTCTTGCCATTTTTCTCCTTTTTTTTCCCACTCTTTTTTTAAATCCGCTTCAAAGTTATGATCTAGACCTGTTTAGAAGTTTGTTAGAATATTGGTACACACACACACACCCGCCATGAAGGATGGAGCTCTGTGTACTTTGATCTAGGTGCTGTCGTTATTTCTTAGGTGTCTATAAAAAGCTTTCCCAAGTAGCAGGCTAGATGATCCCTGTACTTGAGACATTTACATGAGCTAAAGCATTGGTTGAGATTAGTTTAAGGGGCCAGGGAGATAGATCAGTGGAATAAGCACTTCCCTGGCAAGCGCAAGGGCCTGAGTTCAATCCCTGGTTCCACCAAAAAAAAAGGAAAAGAGATTAGTTTAAGTTCCATATTTAGGTTTTCAGTTACATCCAGAAAGATATGGCAATACCTGTCGTACATCAGAGATTCTTTTGACAATAAAGGGCCAAACTTAACCATACTTTGGTTTCTTTCTCAACTAGCTGGAAGTGCACTGATAAACAGTTTCTGAGTTTTAACTTTGAAAGAAGACATAGTGGATCACCCTGTATCCTACCACAGGGGGCACTTAAACTCTAAGAAGTAACCATAACAATAGTTGAATTCACATTGAAGAAAGGAGTCTCATAGAAAATGTCAAGATCCTGAACTACCAACTTGACTTCTTATTTACAGGATTCTGGTGGTGTATTTCCATATCTGCTGCTGCCTCTTGAGAGAATTTTTCTTCAGACTTCTTAGGGAAAAACCAGCCTTTAATGAACATGGTGATGTCCATGATCTGTGATATTGGCTAGGGCCTCTTAAGAATCAACTAACCCCTTGTATGTCTAGATAGAACTTATAAAGCTGTACCTTTTACAAGGTAATCTTCAAGTTCTTCAAAAGTCTTTAGTCGTCTAAGTGTTTGCTATTTTATTTTATTTTGTTTTGTTTTATTTAAAATTTTTTTTTTCTTGGTGTTGGGGATTGAACTCAGGACCTTGTGCTTGCCAGACAAGTGCTTATGCTGCTGAGTTATCTTATCTCTCTAGCCCTTTAATTTAATTTTTTTTGTGTGTGGCCTGCTCAGCCCGCCCTGGAGGCAGGCCTGGTGTGCCATGTGGTGCCAGGGATCGAACTGTGGTCCCTGTGGTTGCCTAAGCAGGCACTTTAGTCCACTGAGCTATCTCACTGGTGCTGGTGATGGTTTTTGAGACAGAATCTCACTATGTAGGCAAGGGTGGCCTTGAACTTGCCACTTCTCCTGCCTCAGCCTCCCAAGTACTGGTTACTGGTGTGTGCCACCATGTCCAACTAGAATCTGATATTTTAATAGTTTAAAAAGAAGAGAATTTCATAAAACCTGATTTGGAGGCATTTAATGTTTACTTTTTTTTGGGGGGGCACGGTAATAGGGATCAAAATCAGGATCTTGCACTTGCCAGGCAGGCACTAATACCACTGAGTTATATCCCCGGCCCCTACGTTTCATCAAATGTTAACAAGTCAACCTTGTTTGCCTTCCTTCATTACCCAGGCCATGGCCATCATCAATGGGTCTCTTTATGTTTTTGGAGGGACAACTGGCTACATTTACAGCACAGACTTGCACAAGTTAGATCTCAATACCAGAGAGTGGACACAGCTGAAACCCAACAACCTGTCCTGTGACCTCCCAGAGGAAAGGTGAGTCCGTCTGTCTTGTTGGCATTTGAGTATGTGCAGAATATTGGCAATAAGAAGACAACCCTTTGGCCACAGTTAAAATAGCTAACTTGCTGTTGATTATGATCAGTAGAAAAGAAAGGTATTCTGATGAGAAAGTGGTATTTTCTCCTAAACTATGAGACTTTTCCATGTTATTTTTCTCTTACACATTTTAGTCTTTCTGTATTAGACAGTAACACTTTGAAGAAGAAACCAGTGGTAAAAGCTTTTTTATCTCCTTTACTAGTAATACTTTGAGGAAGAAAGGAGTGGTAGCAATTACAAGCGAAGTTCATACTGGTGATCAGTGAATATTGGTTAGATAGAAGAAAGGATGAATAGAAAGATGGCTGGATGTGTGGGTGGAAAGAAGGATCATTTATTTTAAGTACTCTGTTAAACAGTCCAGCATTATGTAGTGTTTCAACTTTTCATTGCTAGGGCAAAATATCTCATATAAATAGCTTAAGGGAAGAAAGGTTTATTTGAGCTCATGGCTACAGGGATTTCAGCCTTAGTTTCATTAGGCCTTTGGTGAGGCAGAATATCATGGCAGTAGGGCATGGGGAGGAAAACTGCTCACCTGTGGCAGCCAGGAAGCAGAGAGAGGGGAAGGAGCCAGAGAGGAAGAGGCTGGGGGCCACTTGTTGTACTCTCTTCAATTAGGTCCCCTTCTAAGTCTTCATCCCCTTCCAGTAATACCATCAGGTTATAGATCCATCCCATCAGTGGATTAATCTGCTTGTTAGGTTACAGCCCTATTCAATCACTTTCAAAAGCTCAGGTTTAGAGGTGAGTCTTTTGAAAGGGATTGATCCAGTCATAACACATATTTCTCTCTAGTTGCCTTTATTTAAAATACGGCTTGTCATGACATGCCAGTTACTGCTAAGATGTCTCTCAGGTAGGTGGATGTTCAAGAAGAAGGGGGTGGTGAATGAAAGCAAGAGACAGGAAAAGGAATATTGTGGGATTGTCCTGCTTCAAGGTTGTATATGGTGAGATTTTTGGACTTATGTGCAAACATGAGAAGCATAGAATTCTTTATCCTATTTTTAAAATATAATCTAATTTTTAAATGTTTTTTATCATATTATGCAAGGACTTAAAGTTCAACATATCAATACTTCATGAAAAATACCTGTTCCTTATTATGCCTAAGATGTTTGAAATGCAGTGAGATAGTGAGGTTAAGCTTGATAGCCTAAATCATTTGATAATAACAATAAGCTTGTCTTCTGGATGGTTAACAACCTAAGTTTGCAGACCAAAATTAGAGAAAAAGGAGGGCTACAAGGAAAGTCAACATTTTGGCCCTAGTCTTCTAAGGTCAATTAAGACTCAGGACATATGAGAACCTGTACTGTAACATCATGTACCTCGGTAGTGTCCCAAATTTTCTGATCAAGAAGATTATGGGGCCAAAGAGGAAAGAGATCGATGACGTAGAGTGTGCCTAAGGAGAGTCACATGGGGAGAAGACACTCTCTCAGGCTTTCACAGAGAGCACATTGGCCAAGCAATGGCCGTGACTCATCCACATGGCTGCACTGACAAAGGTTGTACAATCTGAGGTACAGGATATCAGGATAAATCCTGAGGGCATTTCACTGACCTTCTCAGACCCAAAAGCTACAACTCTTGTTGCATAGGTCCTGCTTTACCTTGGTCTTAACCATCCAGTAGAAAAGTATGAAGACGAAATATAGGAAATAAAGTCATGCTGTTAAGTTGAGCTGTGGGGGACTCAGGTCAATAATTTCTGACATTGCCAGTTAAACAGAAGACCCAATGCTATTATGGGCTACTGGACTCTTTTAGAATATTTTGCTGAGTTTATACACCTATAATACTCAATAACGGAACTTAGAAAAAAATGGGGTATACCAATGAATGTCCATTTTGTATCTGTGTATTCAAAGTGGTTGGGATAGATATATAGTTGCATTCTCTTAACTATATATAGAATGATTTGTTCTAATGGTGTTTGTAAATAGGATCACAAGTCCGCATCTTGTACAGCAATTAACTACTAAGAAGAATATATGCAGTGTATTATTTGTTGAAACTGTACTTCCGATTTGATTTGAAACTGTCTCATTGCTATCTGTTTATCAATAAAACTTTGAAAAAATAAAATTAAAAAATAAATGGAAAAAAAGTATAAAAACAAAATATAAGAAGTAAAAAAAAATAAAATAAAAATATACATTTTTAATATTTATTTGATACAGGGTCTCATTACACAGTAGGGATTAAACTTAAGTCCTTGCTCTTGCCAGGCAGGCACTTAGACTGCTGAGCTATCTCCCTAGCCCTTTAGTTGGCTTCTATTAGGAGTCCTGGACCTTTCTTCTTTGGTACTTAGGATTGATCCTCGGGCCTTCATACTGAGTTATATTCCAAACCCTCTTAAAAATGTTTGGTGTGGGGCTGGGATATAAGCCGAGTGGCACAGTGCCTACCTGGCAAGCACAGGGTTCTGGGTTTGATTCCCCCCAAAACAAGTTTAGTTTAAGACAGGCTTTCACTGAATCACTCAGTTACCCAGCCTGGGCTCAAACTTTCTAACCTACTGCTTCAAGCCTTTCAGAGCTGGGATTTGGAGAGTATGCCACCATAACTGGCTTGGGCTCTTCACTAATAATAGTTGCTTCTTCTTAGACTTAAATTTATTCAGAAACTTGAAATTATTTCCTTTCTAGTTTAAAAGAAGACAGTAAATATTTTTTTATTTCCTGTTTAATCATTGTGAATTTCCTTCACCGTTAGTGCTAAGAAAGCACCTACATGATATATCTGTATTGCAGTGTGTTAGTGGGCTGATCACTGCCGAACTACTATGAGACGACTTGGGAAATGGGTTGTTACTAGAATGATTTTGATGTAATTTGTCTTATCAGCACTGGGGCTTTCAGGGAAAGAAGGAAATAAATTGTTTTAAAAGCATTTTTACATGGTTGTATTCTTTAAGTCATTTTATGGACGTATTATAAATTGTTTTAGCTTATAACTAGACGTCTTGTATAAGAGCGCTGATGGGTATTTCATATTATATTCACAGTTCTGTGTGGCATAATTTCCAGCCAAATAAGTATTTTAGTTTGAAAACTCATAGTTCAGGATCTCTAACCATAGCTACCTCACTTTTTAAAACCCTGTAATAACTTGTCCCTTATACAAAGTTACTGCAAAAAGATTATTAAAAACCTGGAAAACACAAATAAGCAAAATGAAGAACATTTTTAGAAAATGTAAACTCAGAAAGATAACTAAAGTTAATGTTTAGATTATATCCTTATGGTCACTCTCTGTGCATATTTATGTACCTATAGACTTTTAGTGACATGATAGCCTGTTTCTTAGTATAATTAATTTTTTGGTTAATGACATGAAAAGAAGTTGTCATTATTTTAACCATCCTCTGTTCCTGCATTCTTATTGTGTAGTAATTTATGTATATTCTAGAATACATTTAACCAATTTATCATCGCCAAATAGGCTATTTCTAATAATTTATTATTATAAAGAATGATATAATACACTACTACAGCCAAGTCTTAAGTAGATTATATTTCACTTAATTATAAACATTATTTTATTGCACATTTCAGATACAGGCATGAAATCGCTCACGATGGGCAGAGGATTTATATCTTGGGAGGTGGTACTTCCTGGACAGCGTATTCCTTAAACAAGGTATTAAAAAAAAAAAGGAAGAGTGAGGATAGAGGTGTATATCATACTAAGAAAGATAAGTCTGTTGTTTTAGGTATTTTAATTTTTGAGAAGCTTTCTCATCAATACCTGTTTTGCATAGTTACTATTTGAATATAAAGTTGAACTCTGCACCCCTGATAAACTTTCCAGTTGACAGTGGCATTTATCACACACTGAAAACACTGTGTGAAAATTATGTCCTTATACTGGGTGAGGAAAGTGACTAGGAGGAAGGTGAAGTAGCTAGGATGGAACAACAGACTAAAATTGAAACCACAGTTTCCAGAATGTCACATTCATCTTATCGTCAGTGTTGTGTATCTCAGAATAGGCATTTTTAGGACTACATGTCACTAACTTTAGAAAGCTGAAGGGCTTTTATTCATCTATCCCTGTGGCATTTCTATAATGTGCTGGTTATATATCTCAGGGGAAATCTAGACTAGGCTACAGAGCTCCTGGCCTGTTTGGAACCTTAATATTCTTTTTATGTTTTGTCAAAACTGCATTCCTGTGTTTCCTTATCAATGCTTGCTTTTTCTGTTACAATACACATTCACTATAGGAAATGTAGAGCAGCACACAGAAGAAAACCAGGACTCACATGTACTTCTGCTTCTCATTGCATTCTCATTTTCTTTATTTTTTAATGAATTGTAAAAATTGCTATTGTATGTGCAGTTAATTTCCAACTGCTTATTTAATATTTGCTTATTATTTTTCTGGTCAGAGAAAAGCAAAGGATAAATAGAAGGATTTTGAACCAAGAATGTGTATTTGTAAAGTTGCCACTAAAAGTCCGATTTTCTATATGGGAAATCTGAGGGTTTTTACTCAGTTTTCTTAAAATTGCTCCTAAAAATTTTTTTAAATTTTATTTTTTAGGCTAGCCAAAATCATAATTATTGGGGCTGGCGAGATAGCTCAACAGTATAAAGCACCTGTGTAGGCAAGCTTAAATAGGTGCAGGAGACTG